CTCCTCCTCCCCTCCTCCTCCTCCTCCTCCTCCTCCTACTCCTCCTCCTCGAAAACATGTGGGCGTCCTCGGCGCTGCTCGCTCGGGGGCCTGGAGAGCCAACGCCTTGAAAAAATCGGGACGGAGGTTTTTCACCGATTTCGATTCCTGTCGATGTCATGTGATGTCGATTCCTGTCGATGTCATGTCGATGTCATGTCGATTGAAATCATGCCATGTCGATTCCAGGCCCAGAACCCCAGAGATCCAACGTATTGAGAAAATCAAGACGGCGGTGTTTCGCAATTTTCGGCCTCAAGGAGCCCTCGCCGGGCCCCGGGACCGTCAAAAAACGGCTCGGGATGAAAGACCGGTCCTGGGGAATGGGTGGAGACTTCCGGGGACCGCGTATGGAAAAAATCGCGACGTTGAATCTCTGGGGAGCGATCCGTCCCCCCCCGAGCCGCTCGCTCCGTCCCCCCCTCTTTCGGCCACGCCTTCCCCCCGCTCCTCCTCTTGCATGGTGGCACAATTCGCTCTAACGGCTTTCCCGTTTATGCATCCCATCGCCGGCGCAGACGTCCCTGACGACGAAAAAAATATATGGGCGTCCTCGGCATGACATTTCTGGCCGCTTTCAGCCCCGGTCGTCCTCTTCACCGGGCCTCGGGACCGCAAAACAACAAAAACGACCCAGGATGAAAAACCGGTCTCCGGGAGGGGGTCCAGACCTCCGGGTGTCGACTTTGCGAAAGAAATGGTCCCAAAGACCCGACGTCGTGATTTTTTCGATACGGGGTCCCCGGAGGTCTCGACCCATTCTCCAGGACCCCTGACTCCGGATCCGCCCTAGTTTGGGGAAATTCGTAAGTAGGGCTTGGAATTTCCGCCTTACTTTTCAAGCCCCGCTGATGCCAATTTCCGCCTTACTTTTCTGTTGTTGTTTCCGCCCTACTTCTGTGGATTTTCGGCCTATTTTATGCTGGGTGTAGAAATTTCCGCCCTACTTTTTCGGCTTCTTATAGGTGGATTTCCGACGCAATTTCGAGTTGGAAAAACAACCAAAGTAGGGCGGATCTGGAGTCAGGGACCGGTTTTTCATCCTGAGTCGTTTTGTGACGGTCCCGGGGCCCGGCGAGGGCCTCTACAATCGGGGCGCTGAAGAAGGAACCCTTTTCGTTGGGGAGGGGCTCGGTGTTCCGTGGTTGCTGCACGGCCCGGCGAGGGCTCCCTGAGGCCGAAGATTGCCAAACACCGCCGTCTGGATTTTTTCAATGCGTTGGCTCTCTGGGGGTTCTGAGCCAGGGATCGACATGACATGATGTCATCGATGCTGTGCAGTCGGGGCGTTGACCCAAGGAGCCCTAGATAATAAGGAACGAGGCCCCTTTCCTTCCACAAGTCAAACTTCGACCTCCGATCGAAAACATAAGGGAAACCTGAGGCAAGCTGTGAAACACTCAAGGAACGCGGAGCCCCTCCCCAGCCAAAAGGGTTCCTTCTTCAGCGCCCCGACTGCACAACAGTAACAATAACAACAGCAACAACGACAATAACAGCAACAGCAACAACAACCACCACCACAACAAAGCATCAAAAACAAGGCCCCTTTTTTCTCCGATCAAAAACATGAGGGAAACCTGAGGCAAGCTGTGAAACACTCAAGGAACGCGGAGCCCCCTCCTCCTCCTCCTCCTCCTCCTCCTCCTCCTCCTCCTCCTCCTCCTCCTGCTCCTCCTCCTCCTCCTCCTCCTCCTCCTCCCTCCTCCTCCCATCATTCCATGAAAGCGGGGAAGCAATGCGCCAGGACGTACGCAGCCCATGCACCAGGAAATTGCACACGCAGAGCATCTGGGGCCATGCGCGCCCGACCACAGAAATGCCGAGGGCTGGGGAGACATGTGGCCACATGCGTATGCAGCTCTCGCCCAGGTCGGGCGCGCCACGTACACCCAGCTTCCTGGCAAAACGCGTGGCAATACAAACGTGCTTGTCCAAGACGAATTGGCACCAGGAGGGCGTGCCTTCCGTTGAGAGGCTGCGCGGGAAGCCGACGCACTGCACTCGAACCACTCGCTGCCTCCCTGCAGTGGGCGCCCTCATCCTGCCTCCCTTCACCCCGCCTGCCGCCGGCTGGCCTCCGCCGAGGGCGAGGCATCTGAAGGGGCCCTGAGACACACAAACAGATAGACACAAACAACAGGATTCCCAATATTTTCCCCATATCTTCTTAGTTCTTGTCTTCCCCCCACCTCCCATGTTTTCCCCTATTTTCTGGGGAGTCGACGATTCATTGTGCCTGTGTTTTTCCCCCTCCTGAATATCAACATCGCGACCCCTCGTGGGCGAGGCCTGCTTCTAGAGGCCTCCTAGATGGGGTCAGAGTAGATGGGGTCGGAGGATCGCGCCGCATCGCCGATACATCGGCGATGCATCGGCGATGCATCGGCGATGCACCGGTGATGCACCGGCGATGCATCGTCGACGTCGGCGATGCATCGGCGACGTCGACGTGAAGCACATCGGGCTACACGTCGAGTCACACCGCCGATGCATCGGCGATGCGGCAAAACCCTCCGACCCCATCTACTCCGACCCCATCTGGGAGGCCTAGAGCGTCCAGAACCGCCCCCCGCATGCCCAGGCTCCGGTGCCATGTCTTTCGGGGATGGACAGACCCCCTTTAGTAACATGTGGTTTAGTGAAGACGACCTGAGGCCCAAACCTGGTGGTCGCAAGCCTGGACAAGAACGGCCACGGCGCCCTCCCGAGAACCGAAAACGGACAATTCACTAATCGACGTGTCACTGTTGGGGGTTCTGTCCACCCCCGAGCCTTCCGACGCGGGGTCCCCGCAGCTCTCGACCGACTCCATCCCCAGGGGGCCGGCTCTCCGCCCCACGCCGCCTCTGCGTGCCCCTGGGGCCTCGCCACGGCCCCGCGAGCCGAGCACTGCTCAAGGGGCACAAGGGCAGACAAATAAATACGCACAAATAAAAATATTCCCCATATTTTCACATGTTTTTCTGGGTTTCTGTCTTCCCCCCCACTTCCCACATTTTCGCATTTTTTCTGGAAATCGACGAATAATTGCGTCTGCGTGTTAGCTCCTGCTCCCTTCCTCCGTCTTTTTCATTGGTTCCGCGCAAACACGGTCCAATCCGAGGCCGCTCCCGGCTCCAGGCGCAGCGGCGCCGCAGGCAGAAAAACAAAAGCAATAAGGGGTGGGCGGGCGGGACAAGCGGTCCCACCCTTGAGCCCCAAACAGCGGCAGACACGCGGCGAGCGCGCGCGAGAGTGAGACACGACGAGGGGCACCAGGGAGTCTAACTTTGCTTCACCTTTGTGAATCCGAGTTAGCTCCTGCCCCCTTCCTCCGTCTTTTTCATTGGCTCCGCGCAAACACGGTCCAATCCGAGGCCGCTCCCGGCTCCAATGCCAATGAAGGAAAAAGGGGGAGCGGCGCAGGAATGCGGCACAGCGGTGCCTAATTTTCAGGGCCAGAATCGTCGACGACCCCCTGCGCCAGCAGGCCGGCGGCCACCTCGTCGCCCGAAACGCACGGGCGGGCAGAGGCTACCGATCGCCAGCCCCCCCCGCGCGAGCATGGCTTCCACGCCCGACGCGGCAAAAACGTCCGCGGCCGCGCCCCTCCGGACGTCGTGGCCGAACCACTCTTCGGGACTCGCGACCCCGAGAGCGCGCAGATGGGAACGGAGCTCGGCTGTCCACGTCTCAGGGGTGTATCCGCCAAGCGGGCGGCCACCGAACCCGAGGAGCTCATCCCACACGGGCAGCCACGTGTGCAAGCAGATGCCTTCATCCACCCCGCACGTACAGAAAGCGAAGACCGTGCACAAATCGATCCTCTGCTTCCGGCGAATCGGTCCATACACGAAACGACCGCCCTGCGCCTGCGCGCGAGCGCGCGTGCATTGCGCGAACAGCTCGGATGGCATCCGCAAGAGGAAATTATATGCCAGCGCCGCTATAACACACCACCACTTACGTTGGCGCGACAGCGCGAAGCGCAGCAACCTCCGCAGCAACAGCCTGTCTACGCGCTGCCTGGGCATACGGGGGGCCCGGTTTTTGGCCGTGCCCACACGAATGCCGCGCAAAATGACGTCCTGATCGCCTTGCCAGGGGACGCCGGCCTCCTGGTGCGCCAGGGCCCACGCGCTCAGCCACCCACGCTGTGTGGAGGCACAAGCGCAGACAGCAGCAACCCTACGAACATGTTGAACCGAGCACCCCAGCGGAAATTCCCCAAACAATTCGCTCGCCCACGCAATCATACGCAGGTGCGAAGCGTATGTCCGCAGCGTGGACGGTACCGTTTTGCACAGGAACCGTTGTTGCACCACCGAATCCGCCACGGTCTGGAGATTGACGCCCGCCGCGCGGGCTTCAGCCAGGGCGGACAACACCTCCCGGGGAGGCGCCCCGTCGGGGTGCCTGTGGCTACAACCCCTGTCTCTGCTAAGCGCGACCATCATGTCCCAGTTGCGCCTGTCTGTCGCTTGGGTAATGGAGTCGAGAACTCCCCAGAACGTGTCCCACAGTGCAGCGGCACCCTGCGGGGCAGAGGCAGCGGCCAGAGACTGCACCCCGCGGGGGCCCGGGCAGGCATCGCGCGGGTGGCCAGGCGGGCCACCGCTGCCACCGTGGCCGGCGGAACCAGACGAGCACGCGAGCTGCCCCGCGGCGCCGCGAGCGGACGAGCTAGGCTCCGCGGCGGCCTCAACGATGAGCGCGTCGGAGGCCGGAGCGGCCGGCGCCTGCCGCACTGGCCCAACAGCACGCTGCACGGCGGCACGGGGCCGCTTGGGTGACGGGAACCGCGGCCCCACCCTATGCAGTTTCCTCCTCATGTGCCGGCGGGCGCCGGCGCGCCAGCGGGCGCGCTAGAGCCACACGGCTGCTCCAATCCCTGTTTGCTGGGGTTCCTCGTGTCCACCTCGCCCTCGTCACGTCGTCGTCGTCGTCGTCCTTCCCCGCCTCCGCGCCCGGGCCTGGGGGGGGGAAATGTTTTATCTATGTCTACGGAGAAACGAGGCGAGGCGCCGGCGAGCCCCCGCGAGAAGAAAAGCCAAGTTTGGTCCCTGGGGCCACGCAGCGCGCCCCTCGCGCTCTCTTCGCCCTCGGCACGAGAGCCGCCGACCCGCATCGACCCCCCAAACAGCTCCTCAATCCTGGCCGGGGTGCCCCAAAACGAACGGAGAGACCAACAACATCCCTCGCCAGACAGGCGGACACGCCGCGTGGATCCAACCCCCTCCAGGGAATGTCCGGGATTGGGGAGGGGAGGGCAACTATGAGAGGGAAAGAAGGGAGGAGGGGGGGGGGGGAGGACGGAAGCAGGCGGAGGACGAGAGCCCAGGAACGACGACGAGACAAGACTTCCTGTGTTTTGCGAGCGCCAACTTACAGTCCGTGGCAGCGGCCAAAGTCCACCGAAAGCGTCGGCGAAACAGTCACCACGTCCGCCCCTAGCCTGCGAAGTGCGGCTTCGCCGTCGTCGCGCGAGGCCAGGTCGAGCGGATTTGATTGAGTATGTACATATTCGAACCACGCCCTGATGTCGTAATGACACAACAGCTCGTGGATTGCTCCCACCACACACGCAACATGTGGGGAATTGGCGTATCCTTTGATACACCCACTGATGGCTGCCATGCTGTCCCCAAAACAGAACACGCAGTGAGAGCGCAGCTGGTCGCCCCACAGCTCAAGACGAGGTGGAGGAGGAGGAGGAGGAGGAGGACGACGACGACGACGACGACCACGACCACGACGACGACTACGCCACCAGCGGGGGGGGATCTCTGGATGCCCCCCGAGAGGTGCCCAGAGGTCCCATGAGGCTTCTGCAAAGCCGAGGCGCCCCAACGCCTCGACCGCCGGCCCCCCTCGACCACCCTGCCTGTCTCACGCCGCCGGGAGGTCGAGGCACGGAGCGCCGCCGCCGCGCCGCGGCGGGCCCAGCGGCGCTCCTCCTCGCGATCCTCGGTCGCCAGCCGCTCGTTGCGCTCGCGCAGGTAGCTTGGGGGCGGCGGGTCTTGCTGCGGTCTTCCCGGATCCTCCGCCTCTGCCTCCCACGACTCCTCCTCGCCCGGGCAGCTCCTCCAGCGCATCCCCGGGTGCAGCTCCAACCTCTGGCGCCCGCTCCGCTGCACGTCTCTCCCCACCCTCACCGTCCCAGCGGATCCTCCTCGTCCTCCTCCTTGCATGATTGGGGAGCTCACAGCTGCATGCAATGCAGCCCAGAAGCTTGGGACAGAGGGCAGCATGCTGTCAGAAAGCACCTCGGGGCCACGAAACGTGTGAGCGGTGTGCCGACATGGGCGTGGTGGCGCCATGCGGACCCTGCCACTGAGGCCTTCCGTGAGGCTGAACATATGGTCACGGAACGTGCGAGTGGTGTGCCGACATGAGGCGGTGCCGCCATGCGGATCCTTGGTGGGGTCAGGAAACTTGCGAGGGGTGTGCCGAAATCAGGCAGTGGCGCCATGTGGACACTGCCGCTGAGGAGGAGGAGGAGGAGGAGGAGGAGGAGGAGGAGGAGGAGGAGGAGGAGGGAGGAGGAGGAGGAGGAGGAGGAGGAGGAGGAGGAGAGCAGCAGGAGGAGGAGGAGGAGGAGGAGGAGGAGGAGGATAACCGTGTTCGGTAGACCTCCCTGTGGGTCCCAGGGCTACGAAGCACGTGAGGGGGGTGCCGACACGGGCATGCAGTGCACGGAGGGCAGAGGTCGAGCGAGGAGGGAGGAGCGGCAGGAGAGGGAAGGAGGAGTGAGACGCGCGGCGCCGAGAATTCGAAACCAGGACCCGCCTCCACACAGGAGGGTCTGGGGAGACACTCTGTGCACCGACGGCGGCCAGGAGAAGCGCATCGAGGAATCCGCTGCCCATTAGGAAGGCGATCCCGATCGCACGAATCACGGACCAAGCAGTGCGACCCGCAAACTGACACCAGAGAGGAAGACGGAGGAGGAGGAAGAACATAACAGAAATAAGGAAGAGGAACAGGAAGACGGAGGAAGAGGAAGAGGAGGAAGATGAGGGGGGAATGAACGCACAACAGAAAAAACCCGTGCGTGCGCACACCGTCTGGGCTCTGCCATTGGCTCTCGCCCAGTTCGCCCTCGCGGGAGGAATTGCAAAGGAAGGCCGAAGAGGAGGGAGGCGAGCACGAGTCGGCTACACGCAGGAGTGACCCAGGGTAAGAGTGACCTTTGGTGCGCGGCTTTTGGGGGGCCGCGGGGTGGCCAAACACAAGCGCGCAAGACGCTACTGCCCCATCGCTCTCGGCGATCGGGGGACCCCATTGGGCCCGCACCAAAGGTCACTCCGGCGAAAGGTCACTCTTACGTGCAGTCGAACGAGGAGGGAGGGGAATGGGACGAACCAGCAGCAGCAGCAGCAGCAGCTGCAGCAGAGGCCCGGTCAAACCAAAAGGTTGGCCCGCGAACGGGCGGGGCACGGCCCTGGAAAATGCAGGCAGAGCGACCTGCGTGCATGATGCGAAGGACGTGCTGGCATCCTTCACGCACGGCATTCTGAATGGGACCAAGGCTAGGGAGCCGACCTCTGTACACCGACGCTTTTTCCCCGGCCCCGCACTGAGCTTCGTACAAGAAAGTGGCTCCTGGTGTAGACGAGATCCTGGTGTGTACATATTCTTCGCTGCTTCCCCGGGAGAGCGAGGAAACAGGTGTAGACCGCACCGCCCCGACGCCGCCCCCGACCCCGAGAAAAAGTCCTGGCATTGAAAAACCGCCCGCCAACTGGAGGAGAAAGCGCCCAGAAGCCTCCCTCCTCTCGATCGCCGTCGTGGCCCTCGCCGTCGGCGGGGTCCTCGTCGTGGTCCTCGTCGTGGTCCTCGTCGTCGTGGTCCTCGTCGTCGTCGGGGCCTCGGGGATCGCCGCCGTCTGAGACGACCGCCGAGGGCAGGCGCTATCGACGCCTGGCCACTGCCCCGGCTCGGGCCACCGCCCCACGATCGGAGCCGGAGCGGGGGCACCCTGGTGGACGCTGTCAAAGGGAAATTAGGACACACAAATAAATACACACAAATAAAATTAGTCCCCATATTTTCCCATATTTTCTGGGTTTTGTCTTCTCCCCCAATTCCCATATTTTCCCATATTTTCCTGGGAATCGAGGATTAATTGTGTCTGTGTTTTTTTTTCCCCTCCTGAGCTGTCTTGGTCGGCGTGTCGGCAGTTGGGCGGAAGGGGGGCGGGGGGCTGGCTCTGGACCTCTGCTTGCTCCAGATTTCGTCAGAAAGGGAGGGGGGTCTCATTTCGGGGGGGGGGGGTCTTTTCCAAGCTATCTTGGAGGGCCCTGGGGGGGTCTGGGGACGATGTTTTGGGGGGTTTTCCCACGGGGCTGGCTCTGGACCTCTGCTTACTTATTGAACGTGGGGGGGCAAAACGTCGTGGGGGGGCCACGCCGGCGAAAATTATCGCAGGGCCTAATCTTCACGCCGGCAAAAAATATGTCGCCCGAGCGACGGCGAAAATCATGCACCATCTCAGGGTCGCCAACGATGATGGTGAGAATAATGAAGATGGTAATGATGATGGTGATGACGATGTTGAAGACGATCGCACGATCATGAGGATGATGGTGAAAGATGAGGACGGTTCTGCCAGATGCGGTGGATGAGCCATATTGTAAGGATGACGATGACGCTGATGATGATGGTTGTAGCAGTGACGATGATGATGATGATGATGATGATGATGATGTTGATGATAATGATGGCGGTGATGCTAATGGACATCAGGAAGACGGCGAAGATGATGGCGATGAAGATGGGGAGGAGAACGACGAAGGGAATGCCGTCACATGTGCCACCTTTTCGTCCTACTTCTCGGGGGCTACATGGACCTCATTCTGGCCGTCTTGGGGCTGTCCTGGTCTCCTGAAGAACACTCATGAAGGTGCCATGTGGCTCCCTGGGGCCGTCATGGGGACCTCTTGGGCCGTCTTGGGTCTCTCATTGGGCCTTCGTGGCCATCTGGTTGGTCTCTTGGGGCCGTGGCAAGTGAGTGCCGTCGCGGCGTGCAGGATGTCAGCGTTGAGTTTAAAATCGATCGTGCTCTCTCGACCTATCCCGCCACAACCTGCTGGACTTCTCAAGTGAGAAAAAACGAATGACGCACCTCTCAAATCATATCCGCAAGACATGGCGCAAACATGCTGATCAAAACGTGTGGTAGCTCTCCAAGCAGGCGGATGTGAACAAACGCGGGACACGTGCAATGCTTGAGCGCTTGCTGCACAATTTGCGAACATCTGTACGAACACACCCCAATAACCGTCAATATTGCGAACGATTTGCATTCGTAGGCACCGGCAAAAATTAAGCCGCCGTCTCGCGAGGGTCGGCGGTAAATATTCTTCGGGGCCCAACGCCGGCGAAAATTATACTGGTGCCCAAGAGGGCGCGCTGTGAAAATTTTACCACCCACGCTCCATAAAGCAAGGGTAGCGCGACCGTTTGCCATAGTGCATCCTATGGCGCAGGCCCCACCTGCTTGAAACAGGCGCCAAAATTTCGAGGTTTGAACCAGGGGAAGGGGAAGGGGGGGGTGCGAGGGCCCGCGCGCGCCGGTCTGCAAAGCAAGGAAAACTGAAGGCGCCCTGGGAGACACAAATGAATACACACAAATAGAAAGATTCCCCATATTTTCCCATGTTTTCTGGGTTTCTGTCTTGCCCCCCACTTCCCATATTTTCCCATATTTTCTGGGGAATCGAGGATTCATTGTGTCTGTGTGTTAGCTCCTGCTCCCTTCCTCCGTCTTTTTCATTGGCTCCGCGCAAACACGGTCCAATCCGAGGCCGCTCCCGGCTCCAGGCGCAGCGGCGCCGCAGGCAGAAAAACAAAAGCAATAAGGGGTGGGCGGGCGGGACAAGCGGTCCCACCCTTGAGCCCCAAACAGCGGCAGACACGCGGCGAGCGCGCGCGAGAGTGAGACACGACGAGGGGCACCAGGGAGTCTGGAGGGCGAGCGTTTGATACCGGATCGGTGCTCTCGGCGTCCGGGGCCGGAGGCGGCGGCGGGGGCCCGGCGGGGGCAGCTCTGGCCAGAGCGCAGCGCGAGGAGGCAGACCTGAACCCCTTGGGAGCTTGTCCCTCGCAGCGTGCAGCCGAGAACGCGTGACGCAGGAGAGGGGGAGAAGGGCGACGATCACGCCGAGGCAGGGACATGTGTATATATATATGTGTACATACATACATATATATACACATACATATATGCATATATACATATAGAGAGAGAAAGAGAGGGAGAGAGAGAGAGAGAGAATGAGAGAGAGAGAGAAAAGAGAGAGAGAGAGAAAGAGAGAGGGATAAACAAAAAAACATAAAACAACAGAGAGAGAGAAGGATAACGCGAGAGAGAGAGAGAGAGCAAAAACGCAGTCCTATCCTAAGAACGTCTAGCGTGACACCCATGTTGTTCTTCTTGAACAACTGAATCCCGTACTCTAGAAGAGGCTGCACTGGTCGTGAGTCGTGACGACGGTCATGAACGATCGCCATATTAGCATGAGCCATGTCTTCATTGTTTTCTACTCCGCCTTGTTGGCGGTGCAGCGTTGTATTTTCATTCGCGGCAAGATCGATCGGCCAACACAGCGAGTGTTCTACGGTCACGAGCCTTTGCTTAGCGTATCTCGGCGGTGGCCCCACCGGCACGCTATGTTCTGCGAGCTGATAGCGTGTCGCTCTGCCTCGAGGGACGAAGGGTTGGGATGAGCTCGGGACGTTGACGTTTCAGGACTGGGGCTTGGTCTCCGAAGCATGGTGGGCCAAAACCAGCGGAGCGACACGCCAAGCAAAGGTTCCTGATTATATGTCTCTGACCGTTGGCCCTGCGGCAGGAGAGAAAAGTAAGCACACAAGCCGCAACCGTCGAGAAGAAACTGGATACGTTCTAGACTGAAAAGATGGGGGCAACGCCAATGAGACGGCGGTGGGAGGTACAATGGGTCGCTTGCGCGAATGATTGCACAAACTATTGCTGGGGGGGCACGACCTATTGCAAAAGGCGCGTTGCGTGTGAAAGAACACGCGACTACATCCACGCGCATGCGCCCAGACCGCAAACTATAGCATCCATGCCAAAATTGTGCAACCACTATTGTACATACTCCAGCCCCCCCCTTTTGTGCTACGGCTGGTTCGTGTCGCGTCGACCCCGGCGTCGGCTCCTGACGCCGCGGGGGTCCTTCAACCTTGAACGACCGGCCGTTTCGGAAACGCCAGATCGTTCAGCATCGACCGATGATGGGCTGCTGACGGCACTCAACGTTGAATGCCAACGGCGGGGACACCGCCGGTCGACACGACGTGGATCTCCTGTACTCCGCCCCGCCGCATTCGTGCCACCCGTGGCGGCGCGCAGAAGGGGGGTCGGGGGAAGGGGGGAGGCTTCTCAGTGAGAGCCTGCTTCTTCGAAGGCGCCGGCCCTACACCTACAGATAAGGCCTCCGCCTCCTATGAAGCACGGGTGCTTGTAAGAAACCCTCCCCAGAAAAAAACGCCACAAACATAAAATGTTGGCGCTCCGCGCGGATCTTTTTGATCAGCGATCGAACCCCCCTCCCTGGCGCGCAGAGCGCGCCAGAGGCGGCGCCAGAGGCGCCGCTGGGGCGGCCCAGCGCGGATCCAAAAAACCCGCGCGGAACACCACGAGTTTAGGTCGATGGCGTGTTTTCTCTTTTTCGATTCCCCCCTCCCCCTGTTCCCCCCCGTGGCCGACACGCCCACCACTCGCACGTGACGGCCCTGCTCGTGCTGGCGCCACGACCCGGCCGCGGCCCCGCCCGCGAGCGCCCCGGCAGCGGCGTCATCCTACCCCCCGACGGCTCTCGCGGCGGCCCGCGCCCGCCCACGAGCCGCGGGGGCGCCCCCCGGGCCTCCCCCACTCCCCCTACCCTCCCCCCTGCGCGTGGCCGACACCCCCACCACTCTGGCTTACACCCTGCGAAATGCTCAAGAAATCATGGGTTAAGAAATTCATCGTCTCAGAACTTGCGTAAAAACCCAACATTCCTATTGAAATCTTAGGATTCACATTGAAACGTGAAGAATAATCGAGACTCTGGCCGAAAACCTAGGTTTTCTTAAGCATCGCCCAAGGTGTAGATGCCCCACGCGCCGGCCGTGGCGGCGGCGGGCGCCCAACGCACCCGCCCCGGGCGGGCGGCGCTCGCCTGGCCGCGCGCTCGGCCTCCGCGTCGCCTCGGCGCTGCCACCTCCCGGCGGGCATGCCGCGGACCCCGCTTCCGCCGTCGCCGCCGCCGCCGTTGGTTGGTTGGGGTGGTGGTGGTGGTGGCTACACCCTGCGAAATGCTTAAGACATCATGGGTTAAGAAATTCATAGTCTCAGAAATGGAATAAAACCCAGCACTTCTATCAAAATCTTGGGATTCCCATTGAAAAGTTAAGAATAATCGAGACTCTGGCCGAAAACTCAAGTTTTCTTAAGCATCGCCTAAGGT